CCCCTCACCCTCACCCTCACCCTCCACCCTCACCCTCACCCTCACCCTCACCCTCACCCTCACCCTCACTCTCTGCAACAGGAACAACGAAGGGAAGGACAAGAAAACACGAATATGCTGAAGGCCTTTTTGCTAATGCTTCGTCAGGGCATACATGACAAGTGGTACATAGAGGGGTATTTATACAAATGTTGGGTGGTCAGGTCACGTCAGTAATCAGGTGAGTAACGACCTGGGCTAGTTCGTAACTCCCTGTAGCGGTGTTGATGTTGTTAGTTGTATGAATGAACACCGCTTCTACCATCTTCCTTTGTTGTGGGGCCAGTACTTGGTTTATGATGGAGGCCTGGGACCACTTCGGGAGGTGACCGTCGGTGTCTACATAAACAATGAAGGCGCTTCTCGTGTTGTGGCGTTGGAGAGCGCTGCAGTGTTGGCTGATTTGTTGTTCTTGCAGTTCTTGTGCTGTCTTGCCTATGTAGACTTTATCACAACCCCCACAGGGTATGCTGTACACCTGGCTGAGGGGTCTGTTGTGGTTTGACCTCTTTTCTCTTACGATATCTCTGATCTTCTTGCCTGAAGATGTAGCTATCTTCAGACTCAATGCAGTATACCCCTTCATTCAGTTCACAACAGAAGAAGAAAGAAATGAACAGCTCCCTTTCCTGCTCACCATGATCCACAGAAGACCAGATGGACCATTATTTTCCGCATACAGAAAACCCACCAATAAAGATGATTTCATTCATTATTTTTCTGCCCATAGTAAGAGAACCAAAGAATGAGTGGTCATTGGTTTCTTCCTCCGAGCCCTCAGAATATGCAGCCCTGAGTTCTTAGAGGAAGAGATGCAACACGTCTGCAACACTTTCCAACATCTCCATTATCCTCTCTCCATGCTTACCCACATCTGACGCAAGGCCGAGAAAATCATGAGTAGACCAAGAGGTGAAGACACACAGAACAAGACTCAGAGAATAATCATCCTCCACTTGGAATTGACTCAAAACCTGGAGGACCTAGTGGGCCGTACTCTAAAGATAGCTACGTCTTCAGGCAAGGACATTATTAAAGAAAAGATGTCAAACCACAAAAGACCCCTCAGCCAGGTGTACAGCATACACTGAGGGGGTTGTGATAAAGTCTACATAGGCGATACAGCACAAGGACTGCACGAACAACAAATCAGCCAACACCGCAGCGCTCTCCGATGCCATGACACGAGAAGCGCCTTCGTTGTTCATGTAGACACCGACAGTCACCTCCCGAAATGGTCCCAGGCTTCCATCATAAAGCAAGGCTTGGCCCCACGACAAAGGAAGATGGTAGAAGCGGTGTTCATTTATACAATTAACAACATCAACACCTGATTACCAATGTGACCTGACCACCCAACATTTGTATAAATACTCCTCTATGTACCTCTTGTCAAGTATGCCCTGACGAAGCATTAGCGAAAAGGCCTTTGGTATATTCATGTGTTTTCTTGTCCTTCCCTTTGTTGTTCCTGTTGCAATCTGTTCATCATTAATTCCACACACACACACACACACACACACACACACACACACACACACACACACACACACACACACACACACACACACACACACACACAGAGAGAGAGAGAGACAGAGAGAGAGAGAGAGAGAGAGAGAGAGAGAGAGAGAGAGAGAGAGAGAGAGAGAGAGAGAGAGAGAGAGAGAGAGAGAGAGAGAGAGAGATTGAGATTAAAAGTAGTCAACATATATCCACCATATAAAATAATACATGTAAAGGCATGAGTATTAAAAATCATAATAAAAGGAAGCAGTAAAAAAGAAAGAAAGAAAGAAAGAAAAAAAAAGGGGGAAGGGGATTAGAAGATCTCTAATACTATGTCTGGTAAAGGTGAAATAAGGTTGGAAACAGTAGTGAAAGGTTAAAAGAAAAATGTCATAGAGTGCTAGTATTACTATTTTGCACTCACTAGGAACCAAGAACGAACCCTGACTGTATGCCCATCCAGGAGCAAAGCAAATTAACTCACCTTCAAAGTGTCTTCTTCATATTCTAATTGACTCGAGATTGCTTCCTTATGATTTGAACATTCCATCTACAGAAGAATAATATTTGGTTAGCTTAGTTCTATCTTAATTCAGTAAAACATGTAACCTCCCTCAATCAAGCATATCTCTATGGCAAAAAATGAAGGTCCTAAAAAGAAGGATATATGTATTTATGTATACATATCTATCTATCTATCTATCTATCTATCTATCTATTATATCTATCTATCTATATATTATCATTCTATCTACTATCTAAATAAATTAACATAAATAAATATACCTATATATACATATAAATAAAAACATGTAATTTCTATACAGATACACACATACATACATGTGTGTATGTATGTGCGTGTATAATGCTATGCTTGGAACTCTTTATTTTGCTCGTCCAGACAAGTTGGTCAAGATGTTTTGACTGTTTGGAAACTACTTTCTCGTCCTGGAGAAGTTATCCATCTAGCCCTCCTTTGCAGCTGGGCAAGCAGGACGAGATGACATCAAAATAGCATTTGTATTTAAACAATGACAGTTGCAGGCAACCATAAGATATTATCCTGTACCAAATGCAGTTAGACTGATCTCCAAATCTTATATATTCTTTGTATATGCCCTACTGGCTGCTCACATACCATTTACAATGTCATGTTGCTAGTAATTCAAAGGGAACCCAAGTATTATGAATGACATTTGCACACTAAGGCAATATTGCGAGGATTAATAAAAGGAAAAAAATAACTCCTACATAACTAGTTCAGTGATATTTGTCATATGTTACTAGTTCTTGACATTAACTTAATCTCTCATATCCTCCTCTCCCATAAATTTTGCCTTAATGTTCCTGCCATCAATTATATCAAAAGTATCTTTCAATTAATTCCGAAATAACAAATAAATTACTAACCTCGTTCGAATTAAATCCTTGAGTCTCGTTACATTCTTTCTCTACCATCGACGCTTCTCGCAGCAGTATATCATACTGAACAGGAATTTGATGCCGCTGATACAATAAATACTTTAACATGTCTTCTACGACTCTGCAGCATGTTGAAGAAGTTAAAGTTCTATCGAGATTGACGCAAATTTTGACATTTTCTTGGTCCCGACGACCGCGTCCGGGTTTGAAAGCTCCCTCCATCTTGTTTACGAAAATCAGCTGATTGGAGCGTATCCGAACATATACATTTTAAAAAAATGTTTGTTTGAAGGTGTTAGATAATAGAGGGTTTAATGAATATGATAATTATTCTATATTACTGTAATGTCTTTGGTAACGATTGGATTATAATAATGTAATGTAGAAGTTTATCACGTTTTTCATTTATGGAATCATCATGACTTTGAGGAATTAAATGTTTATATTGTTTCAGGTTAAACATTCCGTCCCAATATATATAATAAAAATATTTCGATTAGTTATATACCACGACAATAATTACACATCATAAAACAAATATGTGTATCGATCAACAAATTATAGCATTGCAATGGATTTTCTTGAAACACATAATAAACTCACTTAAAGAACTAAACAAAAAATGAAACCTAAAAATACAGAAAAAGCCAAATATGGACTCACACTAGTTCTGTGAATAGAAAAATCCCTATCTTATTTATTCATGAAATATGTCAGGATCCTCAAGAATCCGACGACGTTCGAATCCTCGCACGACGACTTGAGTTCACAACATGTTCGAGAAGCAGTGAGTCCCCAGCGTTACACAAACCAGCAGCGATGGCTCTTCTTCGCAGCATCTCGCGTTCCCTTCCTCTCCTGACGGGGAGGTCTGTCAGCGTCACCTCGTCGGCCAAGTATCACAAGAAGGTAGAGACATTCATGCTGGTTTTAAGATTAGAGTCAATTTTATAGGAACAAATTCTTCAGGAAACTTATTAACATGGTCTCGGGGTTCCTGTTGTGTGACGTAATTAGGAGAAAAATGTTCTATTATTGCATTATGTTTTTCGTAAAAAGGGTGTAAGATATGAGTTTATTGCGTTAAAAAAAGGGACATGAATTATGATGATGAAATGAAGAAATGGAAATTGCAGAAGGCTGTCGCACACTCTTAGACTTTGTCTAAAAAGAATTGATGTTTTCTGAAGGAAGTCCAATGATTTCATCGATTTTCGGTGTTGTTTCTTCTGCCAGTGAAGCGTTCGGGAGATCGAGTACATTTCTCCATCGATGATCTTGATTTGAGAGTCCCGTTAGGAGGGGAGGGCATGAAGTATATCAGGGAAATTATGGGGTAAAACAAGCTTAAATAAGAAGATTAAAGATCAAAAATGCGAAAAAATAGCACAAAAAATGCTTAAAATAGGCCAATGAATCTCTGCATATGTAATTGCCATCTTTGAAGTTTTACGGACTGACACGCCAGAAATCAAATACGCTACGGGAACCTAACCCACCTTTCAACAAAACTCTACGGGAATTCACATGTTCCAAACCCCCCAAAAAACGTATTGACCAATAAACCAACCTAATATATCATAATAAAATGCTGTGACTACGCGTGCCCTTTGGGCACTCCCCGAGGGGAGGGTTGATGGGGGCTCCGCCCCCCCCAACACCCCCCTGGACACATTCTCTCCATCTCGGTATGTATGGCAAGATAGAGCTGCATTCACACCGTAAAATGATAAACCAAATATCTTTATATCTGCAACCGTCAAACTTCTGTTCACTTCCTTCTACCATCTGGATTGCTACAATTTTAATCACTTTTTTCAGTACTGGAGCTCTTGGTGGGCCCAGATATTAAACTGGGATTTTCACTGAAGTCTATTTTATCTTCTTTGTCACTGTATAGTCTTAAGAATAACCCAGAATGAACACAACACTGGAAACGCAACATTTCTTACCGGCATTCTATCTCAAAGTGAGCGGGCTGGCCAGGTATCAACCTGGCGGCAGGTGAAAGGAAGTGTTAAATGCAGAATGTGCACTAATCTAGATATGCCTATAAATCACTCTTAAAACACCTAAATGAAGTATAACATGACTTACTCGATGGCGTATCTTCCTACCCTGTCCCTGTCTCTTCTGGTGTCCAGCAAGGCACCGTTCTTGGCCCCCTTCTTTTCCTGCTATATATTAACGACCTTCCACTTTCGACACCTAACTCTTCTGCTAGACTTTATGCTGACAGCAGCCTTTTGTTTCGACTCATAATAACTGAAGATGACTGTAGACTTCTCCAGCAAGACATTGACACTCAAGAACAATGGGAAAGATCATGGCAGATGTCTTTTAGATCTGATAAATGCAAAATTCTCAGCTTCACCAGATCTCATGCACCAATTCACTTCACTTACACCCTACATAACCCACATTTAATACCTACAGCATCTTATAAATACCTTGGCATCCACCTAACCAACAACCTTACCTTCAACACACATATCGACTTTATCATTAATAAAGCAAACAGAACGCTGGTGTTTCTGAGGAGGAACCTATGCAACTGTACACCCGACATCAAACACGTAGCTTACAACACACTTGTACATCGAACACTAGGGTACTGCATGGTTGTAAGGGACCCTTACACTGAGCACAATATTGAGAAGCTCGAGCAAGTCAATACTAGGGCTGCCAGGCTTATTACACGTAATTACACCTGTACACCTGGTATTTCATCTCACATAAAAAAACAGATTAATATGGACATGCTTGAGACATGAAGACAAGCACATGGACTTACAATCATATACAAAATCAAAACAACCTTATTGGCATCAACAAACACAAATACTTAAAAGCAGCACACTCACACAACACAAGAAACTCACACACCAGTAAATTCGTCACATACCACACCAACGCAGACTCTTATAATCACTCATTCTTCCCACGTACCATACGCGACTGGAACAGGCTCCCCAAACATATAATTGAAACTGAAACACTCAATACTTTCACAAGCAAACTAAACAAATTCTTAACACTACAAGCACCTTCTCAAACACTGACACTTCCACTTGCACCTTAATGCTTCCCCCTTTACCCCAGCAACCAACCACTTATATGCGTGTTACGTGCTCATTAGTGCCATTAGCATTACTGTTGAGACTGAGTTTGAGAATCCATGAAGGAACCTAGGGTAATGGGCAGGTTATGGAGAAAGAAAGAAAAGCCTGTAGAAATATATAAGTATTTTGAAATAGGTGCCATGCTCTTTTTTACAGATTTAAGTAGTGATATATTTTCACCTTCATTACTTTCATTGCAAGATGGCCTTCAAGCATTAAACCTTCAAGTAAAGGGACCATAAATATCATTAAGTAAATTAACATGTAACAGGATTGTACTACATTATAAAGCAAGTTTAAATTCATATTTTTTACAGATATCACAAAATCATTGGTTGCCTGGTACGATTGTTTCTTGAGGTCCGTTTCTTGCTTCTTGTGGTATGAAGTTAGAAAAAAAGGTGCATTTTACCCACACATATCAGTAAAATTTTGATCACTGGAGATTCAGTATTGTGTAGTTCATATTAAATTTATACGAGGTGAAATGGTGTGTGTGTGTGTGTGTGTGTGTGTGTATGTGTGTGTGCGTGTGTGTATATAATATATATATATATATATATATATATATATATATAACTTTTTTATGGTGTGTGTGTGTGTGTGTGTGTGTGTGTGCGTGTGCGTGCGCGTGCGCGTGTGCGTGTGCGTGTCTGTCTGTCTGTCTGTCTGTCTCTGTCTCTGTCTCTGTCTCTCTGACTGTGTCTGTGTCTGTGTATTTCTATGCTTATGTCTGCCTAAATTTCATTGCTAGTGTCTGTGTCAGTGACCATGGACATTCTCTTAGTATTTTGCAATACTTTTCCTGTTGCAATGCTCCTTGATTGATAATCATGTCTCTAGCACCCAGTATGAAAATTATCATATACTTTCAAAATCATATTCTCTCTCTTTCATAAACCTTTAGATATATAATTCTCTCGCTTTCATAAAGTTATAAATAAGTTCTCTCATATACAAATAAATAAATAAATGAGTAATCCTCTTTCTTTGAAAAACTTATCAGAGAGAATTATTTATTTATAGAATAATGAATAAGTATTGGTCATTACAGTAAGTTATTAGAAAAACTTATTCTTTATAGTATTTAATCATAATTTGAAGTTAACTGACATGAAGAGATGAGAATGTTTAAGGTTTGAAAAAATACTGCCTTTTGTAAGATCTTAGAATATGTTTTAAATTTTGTTACAATATATATGGACAGTCAGTCATTATTTTGAGAAAAGGATATTAATATAGAGTCCAGTGTAACGTATGGGTAAAATGTATGCTTGTGATTTTTGTTATTGTAATTATTATTATTACTGTCAGTAAATTCAGTTTTTCATCAGAGAGCAACTGTAAATGGTAAAGAGTCTTGTTAATTTCTGGGCATTTAGAAAATAGTCTTTCAGAGACAGATAATAAGAAAATATGTGATATTGAACATGCAGATCTACTCTATCGATATTACAAGAACATACTTTTGTGTCCATAGGTCATTGACCATTACGAAAATCCACGTAATGTTGGATCCCTCGACAAGAATGACTCCACAGTGGGCACAGGTCTTGTAGGAGCCCCTGCCTGTGGAGATGTAATGAAACTACAGGTGAAGGTGGATGAAAATGGGAAGATTATTGACGCCAAATTCAAGACATTTGGATGCGGTTCTGCCATTGCGTCATCATCTTTGGCGACAGAATGGGTAAAGGGAAAGACTGTAAGTGTACAAAAGGTTATTTTTTAGTTAATGTTATTATTTTTTATTTTTTATGAATCCCTGATTTTTTTTTCTTTTATTTAAGGACAGTATGAAGAAATTTAATCATTTGATGTTAGGGAAGTCTTTGATTGATTTTGTCATGGAATACAAACGTTGATACCTTCAAAGTAGAATTTTGGTAGTGTTTGGATTACTAGTTGTAAAAATACATAATGATTTACAGAATATTAAGGAATTTGCTCATTTGTAATTTAGTCCCTTATTTCTTTTTTTTTTTTTTGGGGGGGGGGGCTATTTAGGTTCAAATTTTTTTCCCCCTTCACATGACATATGACAGCTGTGATCAATATGCAGTAATAGAAAAAGACACTTGAATATTTTCTACTCTATATATCCATATATATACATATTACTTACCACTTAAATTACTATTTTCAGATGGATGAAGCTCTTAAAATAAAAAATGTTGATATTGCAAAGGAGCTAAAACTACCTCCTGTCAAGCTACATTGTTCTAGTAAGTAATTCTTTTATACTTATTGCATTGTATATGGGTAATGAAACTTCAGTAAATCCTCTCCTTCCTTCCTGTTTCCATCATTAAAATGTGTATCTTGTAAAGAGGATTACTCCTTATTCATGGGCAGGAAAAGTTGTAATAAATTCATGATTTTGGTATCAGATACTATGAGTGCTATCAGCTCTATCATATTCTCTTATCTGGAAACTTATTCATAGTGTTAGATCAAGAAACGATAAGAGATTTAGGGCATGTGTGGGATGAATGAATGATAAGAATGTGGGCATTACTCATTAAGTTCACAATGTTTCTCAATTTCAGTGCTTGCTGAGGATGCCATAAAAGCAGCTCTAAGCGACTACAAGGTTAAGCAGTCGACTAAAGAGAAAGTTGCCAAAGAAAACGTGCAATAAAACCATACTGAAAAATGCTAGGCGTTTAACAAATTTATTGAGAGTGTTAGGCATTACCTTGCATTTTCATGAACTTAGTCCCACTGATAAATCTTTTTCCTGAATATTTTCCTTACTGACTTAATTTCATGCTATGATATTAATTTTGTAAAAAATGGTCTTACTCACTAGATATTACTCTTTTTTTTTTCTTTTCTATGTTCCTCCCAACAAGATACACTTTTCATGTGCCTCATTAAATAGTTGTTTACATTTGTCTTTGTCCTCTGAACACAAAGCTGGAAATTTGATTCTGAAAGTTTAAGAGGGAGAACACTGATTCTTGCAAGTACTAGAATTTATGCTGTGTGTATTGTTACTGACACTCAACTCCTTGTAGGAAATAAAGTGGTTCCATTGATATTCATTTATTATTATTTTCTTAATATTTTTTTAGGATATGGTAATAAGGTGATAATCAGATACATTATAGAAATAACAAAAAGTAAGGGACATTTCTCTCTTGAATTTGTTGATATACTATTTCATTACTGGTGTTTGTGTTAGCTTACTTTCATGATGGTTGTAGTAACCCATGAACACTTCTTAAAGGGGAAAAAATGTATATGAAAATTGCCACATATTTTGTATATTGAAATATGGCCTCTTAACCTACCTAATTATAATAAGCTTAAAAGATTTTTTTTTATCAGATATCTTTTATTAAAGAAATCTGAAAGGTTCATACTATGAACATTACAGTGTATATAATGTAGCAGAAATAAAATATATGGAAGGAGCTGATTGGATATCATTTTCATGACAAGTGAGCAATGAATTATGAAGATATGGAAGGATTTAAAAGAAACTACAAGTAAAAGAAATCAACAAATTAATGTTTTGTATTTTGTATTTGCAGGAAAGTATAGAAAGATATAAGACTCTTTTGGTATTATTGCTGTAGGTAAGGTAAATTTATTTTCAGGATATAACCAAATTATCACCAATATGCGATGGTGATAACTGCACATAGGATAACATGGTGTCGGGTCTTGCTGTCATGACTGTTGTAAGATAGTGCCTCTTTTCTTCCCCTCCAAGGATGCCAAACTCTGCCACAAATTCCTCCATGCCAACATTATGCCAACCCTCTTCGTCCATCTCACTGTTGTATTCCATCTGCATGTTCTCTAATACCTGTAGGGAGTAATTTAAAACTGAAGTGAGGGAATCGCTTATCTAATTTTCATTACAAAGGTCTCTACCATGTGTGTGTATTTTTCATGTGAATTCTTAACTCGACATTTTTCAAAATTACCATTTCATTCTCATGCATTAGTGCTATGTTGTGCAAAATGCAAGTAGCCTTCAATAATTTCATATTGGTTGCAACATGTCTGTCCATTTGCTGCATTCTCTTGAATCTGGATTTGAAGACTGTCATGGCATTTGTAGTTAATTTGCTGGCTTCATGGTGATTCTCATTAAACAGGGCTTCCTATATTAGAAAGGAAAATATTAAAGATGGAGTGAAATTTATTAAAAAAAAAAAGAAAAAGAAAAAAGATAGTTCTATACTTCCTACCGCATAAATGACTTGCATGCTTTTCAAATTGTAAAATACTTCTTACAAACAAAAATATATTTCTTTATTGACACAAAAGTTGCTGAAAATAACAGCAAGTACAATTTACCTGGTAAGAAAGGACATCTTTCACATGTGGCGTCATGATAGCAGGAGCCAAAGGGTACGTGGCTGGGGCAACTAAGTGGGTCTCTGCACTTGAAAGACTTTGGAGGTGTGCCCAAGCTTGTGATTCCTTAAAAGAACGAAAGAAAGTATTAGGAGAAGAAAAGGATTATATACTTTGTACTGCATATTCAATATTTTCAGGAACTTTGAAAGAACAGCATCTAAATACATTTTAAAACATCAGATTTAAAGAAAGATTTAGCCTACCTGAAACACTTGAACTCTGGTTCCTGTGGCAGGTGAATCCACATGGATATCACGGAAGAGCAGTCTATGATCAACAATAAACTGTAAGACAAAGGCACATTTGCAGCTTATTCCCTCTTTTACATAAGTATACTCTTGTTTGTCAGCTCCTGTGGGTATTTTCATGTGAATCAGTGCAGCATCCATTGCTCCAAAGGCACCAGGAAACCCACAATTGTGCTTGATCACTTCTGCTATTCTGATTCTGTTAAAAAGGTGTTACAGTTACAGATCAAAATATGATGTCATTTTGAAAAATCAAATTCTTTCAAATGTTGTCAGAGTAGAGGCAACTCTGTGGAATTGGATAATTAACAAAACTGCAAGTTGAAAAATTACCTACCTTTCTTCTAAGCTTGGTAAACTCAAGTACTTCTCCATCTGATTCAGTAAGAAGTCAGCAAACTTAACAGCAATGTCAATAAAGGCTGCAGATTTAAATCTGAACCTAGAAAATCAATAACAATATTACTATTCTTTGTAAAATGTGTCGTGTGTAACTTTTCCCCTTTTATATTGATAATTCTGATACAAATTTTAAAACCAATATATATTCCTGACTTGTTTAAAACAACCTGTCCTACCTCCTACCTTGAACAAACTGAAGCTAGGCTCTCAGTAGATCCTAAGTAATACAATACTGCTAATACATGCTGGTTGTAAAACTCTAAATTCTCAAGGGACACTTCATCCTCCATCAAATTTTGTTTTGTTTCTTTCTGCCACTCGTCAACTAAAAACTGAAAAGAAAGTTTCACACTAAAAATAAAGATGAAAATATTCAAAATCACCTTAATCAGAGAAAGTTCAATCTCCCTCACCTCTTTTGAAATAATTTTTTAAATCACAAAAAATTAAATAGCATATATCATATACTTAAACAACATACCTGATACACAGGTCTTGTAACTCTGAATGTGTGGAGAAAGTCTGTCTCATTTAGCTCCGCATCCAAGGTAGGCAGAATTTCCACTTTAGTATTTTGTAACTCCCGCGGTTTCCTTGGCCTTTTATTGACCTGCAGATAATTGTTTGTTACAAGTTTGTTTCACTATAGTCAACCATCTAAAGGTCTAACACTCGTACTGAATTCAGAGGTAGGAAATATGTGTTTGCTAATTTATATGAAGAATATGCTTTTGAAACAGCTAATAATTGCCTCAAATAGACATAGTTCATACAACCCCAGAATTTTGTCAGATAATTCTCTTACAATATTTATATATGACCAATGCTTACCTTTAATAATGATGATGATGATGATAAAACCTTAGAAAAATCAAGATTCTAGAGTTTAGGGAGTACTGAAAATATAACTACATATCTGAAGTAGTTATTAGATTTCATATACATCAAGAAAATAACTGCTTTTGAAGTGGTTGGGAATGAGTGAGGAAATGAGGGAATGAAGCAATGAGAATGTTAATGAAAAAGGGAGAGATACACACAATTCCTCTTTCATGGTTGCAGTGATCTGTTTCTTCAGGAAGCTGTATGTATATTCTGCGTTCTCCCTCAGCACGACTTTCCTTGAGTGCAAGACGAAGAAGAAGAGCCTTCAGTTTCTTTGCATGGGCTGTATTTTTCTCAGCCTGAAAATGAAGTATAGTACTAAATGTAAAACTACATTCATTAGGGACATATAAAATACAACATATATATATAGAAATATTATCAAAGTAAAAATTGAAAACTAGTTAGTAGGTGGTAGTGTCTGAATTAGGGTTTATATACAGAATAGTATTGTGAACAGAGATGATATTCAATTTCTAGTAAACTACTACAAACAATTTTTTGTTTTAAACAATTATGGTCCGATTTCCAACATTCAAAATTATGAAAAGTCTGTACCAAGGTTAAAATGCATTACCTTAAAAGATGGGAATTTTACAACATCTTTCAATATAATCTTGGCAGGACAATTGACCTTCTTAGAAACAGGGTGACGACGGTCTTTTATTTTCAATAATTCTATCTGTAAAACAAATAATTAAAAATGGTATGATGTCATTGCCTTACATCTTGTCTATCAGTTTGTAACATTTGCCAAAAATGCTACATCTATTAGTAACTTCATGCTAATGGGAGAAAAATGCATAATAAAGACTGCAGCATCTTTCTGGCAAACCCAGAGCCATATGATATCTGCTGATGGTGAGTGTAATGAAGAAATAAACATATTTATAGAAAGAAGCTGTAAAGGTAAGTTGGAAATTAACCCATTGCCGCCGAGTGGTACGTACGTACATGCCATGGCTGTTGTGGACCAAACGCCGGGGGCATCATGTCATGCCCATTCCCGTGCTACTGGCTCGTCGGATGGAGGTTGTTTTTCTCCGGTAGTAGCGGCTTCATTTATATGGTAAAGATTTTAGGCAATGGCACCTAAAGTGAAGGTAAACCTTCAAAATTTTAATGTTTTTATAAATTATAGCAAAATAAAAGATTTTAGGTGCTATATGTCGCTCGCAAACTACCGATTGAGCCGGGCGCAAACAGGGGAAACTGCCGGTGTGCACCAACAAGCCCGTGCATACGTAAACTTGCCAAAATTTTTACCCGTCGGTGATGGGTTAAACTTGGATACTGTCATGTCCTAAAAGCAAAACTATATCATAAAAATAACTATTTCATACCTTTCTTCTTTCTTGATGCCTCTTCTTTTGGTACAAATTTCTATCAATGCCAAACTGACATTCAAGTATTTTGCTTCCAATAAGAACATATGGGATACCATCACTGCCAAGGAAATTATTTTCCAATTTCACTTTTTGTTCTTCTTGATGCCACAGGATCTTATGGTTGTCTAAACACCACTCTGAAATGGAATGAAATAGGGTCTTAGATAATAATAATTCTTTAAGTAACTAACTGATTAAACTTCATATACATATAAATATTTCCTGCAAATCATACACTATATTTCATTTACACACGTGGTATTAAAAAAAAAAAAAAAAAAAAAAAAAAAAAAAAAAAAAAAAAAAAAAAAAATCAATATAAAACTTTTGATAAAATAGGTACAATAATTATAAAAGTAGTTTATAAAAGATTATACTAAATGATTTTGTATCACCTGATTACCTGTGATATATAGTTCTTTTAGTCTATGGAAACCATCTATAGCAATGGTATTTGTAATGCAATGTCATGGGAACATCATGCCAAGTGTGCTACTGGAGGTCACTAATTTACATGACTTCTAGGCATGATGCGTCCTTACTTTTGCTCTGTTGCTTTTGTCTACCACTGCTAATTTATTGTTGCTCGTCTTGAATTACTGCTAATCTACCCTTAATTTTACTCTTAAGAAACCTAGATAAGCACATTATGTTGATTTACTAGTGCATCAAATCTATTTTTCAGCACTTGTATGGTTCCAAGCCTGCTGGGGTTGTTAGATTCAAGCAATATTCTTTGTTTGCACTACACCTAAAAATGGTTGTATATGTACCATACTTAGGACTGTCTACCAATATATGGCTAAATATATGTTTACCTACTCATCCTGGACACCAATGATTATACAGGACTGAAAAATATAAATCTTATGTACTTGCTCCATGACGTCACTAGTCTAAATATTGAAGTGTATATACAGCCGTGAAGTGGCTACGTATGAGAAACTTATTTTGCTGTGGTGTGCTCTGATTGGCTGGTAAGTGTTTGATTGATTGGCATGTGCACCATTGGGCATACTGTGTTTGGTGGTAATATGGAAGCAGAAGCATCCGGATCAGTTCGAATCCTGGAATCATCATTATTGAAAATTAGTGATGAATTTTCACATTTTCTTGAGCTTGAAGCAACCATAAAGCATTTGGAGTTGGAGCACAATATAAATTTTTGGTTCCGTTAGACTAGTGTTAGCGGTTAAAAATGGCAAAATAATCCTGGTCTCACAGTAATGCCGTGCACAGTAACTATATGACATCACGGCTGAATATGTTTCACGAATGTTGCCTGTTAACGGCACTATATCAACTGCCTCTAAAGAAATACCAATTTTGCATCCGAGAAACTATAGATATTACAATAAACAAAGACATTTACACTCTTGCCTTTTAGATTATATATTTACTCATATAATCACCCACAGATTAATTAAACTGCCACCCACCATTTCGTCCAAAGCTCCTCTGTACTTTGTAGCAAATAAATTTTGATGAAGTTTGTTCCTGATATCTTTTTACGGTTTCATTCGCCTTCTCTATGCTGTCCACATATCCACAAGTCGAGTTTATCATATAATCGAAAAATCCATTCTCTGCTGCAGTTGCACACACAACTTCTGCTTTCACTGAATTATTATCAATAGTGGAAGGTGCCTCGATTTTGATTGTGACAGAAGAAGGCATTTCTTCTTCCGAGCGTATGTGAAGAATTCCAGCCATTGGGTTGTGTTTACAAAATTCCAGCNTTGTATATCTAGACATATATTATAATATATTATAGCTCAATATTAGCTGGTACTAAGATTATTGTATTAATCATAATTTGATACCTTATACGGTTCTACTTTTGGCATCTACTCACATGCTGAGATAAAAAAAAGAAAGAAAAGAAACACCGAAAAAAAAAAAATATGAAACAAAAAAAAGGGTTCTAAGTAATCTTCTTAACAGAAAATGGAGGTTTCATTATACCTATTTTTGTTTTAGATTAAGTGTTCAGTGGAAAAGCAATCTTAATGGTTTACCTCCAAATTGAGAAAAATGGGTGGAGAAGGAAGAGAAAGAAGAGGATGAGGAGGTGAAGGAGGAGTGGGAGCAGGTAGATTAGGAGGAGGAGGAGGAAGAGGATGGAGGAGGAGTAGGAGTAGGAGGAAGAAGTGGATGGACATTGATGTGATGGTGATTGAGAAGTGGGAGAGGTTTTGGAGGAGGAGGAGGAGGAGGACGGTGCCAAAACTTATAAAAATTACAAAGAGATTAGAGGAGGAGAAGGAGAGGATGACCCATAAGCAGAAAAGTGATCTGTTGAAGGCATGGCCTAGCCTCTTGACTGAAAATCCCTGATGATGATTAGATGGAGGAGTAGGCGATGGAGGAGGAAGAGGGTGAAGAATCACTGATGCAAATTAACACCTGTCTGCTCAGAACACCTGAGATGGTTTCCTATTACTTCTTCTGCACATATAATTGTAATGAAGTGGAGGTAACTTTTTCCATTTTATTTTGTGTTTTATGTCCTCTGTGCTGTTTCTGAAGGTTACTTGAATTCTTAAAAAAAAAAAGAGAGAGAAAAAAAAAGAGAGGAAAAAAAAACAAATAACAAAATAAAAAAGACAAACAAGCAAAAAAAAAAGCAAAAAAAGAAAAGCAAAAAAAGAAAGAAAAAAATGTAAAAAAAAAAAAAAAAAAAAAAAAAAAAAAAAAAGCAGTAGTAATCATGCAATATTTTATGTCCTTCATGCTTTTTATGTTCTTGATGCTGTGTATATTTGTTATGATTTAGATTAGAAGGTAATAGAAATAGGAATGTTAATGTTTGCAGTGAAGCTGATATGCTGTCCCTATTTGTAGTTCATCCAGAATTCTTTTCTGGTAAAGAAAGGTTTTGACAGGAAATTTTGTAATGAATAAAAGTTACAAGAATGCAAGTGCACATATGAATTAAAAAGAAAAAAAAAAGAAATTATTTTGTATAGCGATTGATTTCATGGGATGTTGTTTTTCATTTAAACTGTTTTTGTTTGGTGTTTGTGTGTGTCTTCTTGATTTATAGAGAGGTTAAAATCCATCTCTAAGTTATTAGTGATCAACATCAGGTTCCTGTAATTGTGCAATAACATTATTTTTAGAATGCCATATTTAGCCCAACAATGAAGGGTGTCTCACTGATGAGATGGCCTGAACACTGGCAGGAGCTGGATGTCTCATATACGAGACACTTGTGTTTATGGCTTAGACTCTATTTGCTTTGGAAATTAGTGTATTTTTCACTCAGAAATATCCATAGGGGGTTCATAAACCAAATTTCTGAAGATATTGCCAAATGTAATATGAATGTAGTCAATATGTAATACAATATGTGTCTCAGCCTATCAATGTGTGTTCAAGCATATACCAATTTTCACATAGGAAAAGTCAAGAGGACTGTAGATGATGTCAAACTTTTTAAAGAAATGCATTGTTTATTTATTCATTATGCTTTGTGCTTAATTTGGTTCTAACTAATGTGAATGTAATGTTGATATTGATTTTATCTGCAATGATTTTGCTGAAATATAAAATATTCATTTTGTGATACTTCTATGTGTATATATATATATTGTAAATATATATATATATATATATATATATATTATATATATATTATATATAATATATAAATATATATATATAAATATATAATATATATATAATATATATATATCTATATATTATATATATTTTATATATATATATATATATATATTCTATATATTATATATATTATGCATATATATATATATATATATAGTATATATATATTCCTATATCATCATATAATAATATATATATGAAAGTATTATATGATATATTCTATATATATGAAAGCATTTATATATTATATATATATATATATATATATTATAATATATATATATATATATTATATATATATAATATATACTATATATATAATATATATATATATATATATATATATATAATTCATATATATATATATATTTATTATATATAATATATTATATATTATATATATATATACATATTATATATACTATATATATATATATGATATATATTATATATATATATATATATGTATATATACTACTATATGATACTACTATACTATAATATTATATATATAATATATCATATATAATATCATATATATAAATATATATATAATATATATATATATATATATAATATATATCTATTGATATATACTACATATATAAAAATATAAAGTAATGAATATATATAATATTGTTATAATATAAGATATATATAGTGTATATTTTACTATATTATATATAATATATATATAGTACTATAATACTATAACTCATACTACTACCTACCATATCATGATTATATAGATTTATAGATAGTTTTATGTTTAATGTATATTATGTATTGTATATTTTCACTACATCTTGCATTTAATATGTATATGTTGTAAATGTAATACATACATTACACATCATCGCTCATCATCTCCATCACCATTATATACATATATAACAGGATTAAATTGTATACTGTATGATATATACGTATTTATATACTTATTATATACATGTATATATTTAATCCATATAATATATATAAATATATAATATATAATAACTATATTATATTCTTATATATATAATGGTATAATATAATGTGTATATATATATGTATATATATAATTAGCCTATATATATATATTATATATCTTAGTAGGTAGTTATTTATATATATACTATTTACTATCATAGTATATATGCTTATTTGTGTGTGTGCTGTGCTCACATAACTACCCACGCTCACTCGATATATCATGTATAATATGTAGCAGTATGCATAATTTAGTATATAGTGCTGTACATATATGTGTATATATGACATATATGTTAATATATAGTGTGTAGATGTATGCATATTGCTAGTTACTAGTATATGTATTATGTATGTATATATAATGTAAATATATGTGTATATATCATATATATATGTATATGTATGTTATACTATGTAATCATATATATGTGTAATGTGTATATATCTAATAATCATCACTATATATATTATATATCTATATATATATATATATTCAATATATATACTCCACTATGATACTATATATCTATATATAATATATATATATATTCATAATTGATAACCAAGTATACATTCACGATCATTATCCGGTGAAAGAGGAGTTAACCTGTGACGGCAGTCGTAACAGCCATGCGCCACATGTTCTACGTGTTTGATTGTGATTGTTATAGAGATTTTTATATTATATATACTACCTACTCATAATAATCTTAATGTAGGATCACACACTCTAGACTAGAGGAGTTACGAGAATATTGCCGTAAAGTGTGCTCGTATATAATGGAGTGGTTAATAGGGTGGTATGTATTATATTAAGCCTGATATGACATATATATATAGTGATACGGGTGTATAATAACCGGTGCCATGCGACATACATGATACATACGTACTCACTATGCATAACAATCACATTCATGGACCTACATAATGCATGTAATACATTGAGTATTACACGTCCACATGAGCTAACGAGTCATGGTTATATTATGAGTGCTAGGTATATAACTATATCGCAGCCTGAAGCAAGGCCCAACTACTAATCGGATATAGTATACAGTAGTATATAACTCGAGTCATGCAACTTAGGAGCTATAGTATCTTTGGGATACTAGCTAATGGTATGAGGAGCTAGTATATAGTGTGTATATTGGCCATATTATAGACTCAGTATAATATTACTTATAATTTTACAAATCTAAGGTAATGACAGTTGATTATAGCATCACTATATATCTACAGGCAGGTGTGTGTGTGTGTGTGTGTGGTGTTATTGTGCCTGTGTGTTTGGTGTGGTAGATGATGTGTGTGTGTGGGTGTGGTGTGTTGTGTTGTGTGTGTGTGATGTGTGTGGGGTGGATTGTAGTGGTGTGGTGCGATCTATGGTAGTGTTATTATTAGATTACTATACTAAGATGTTAATTAGCGATTTGAGCTACGATAACATAGATATTTAAGTATAATAGTATATATTCTGATATACATAGCACTTAATGCGTTTGGTATAAAATTCTAACAGTAATATTTCGTGTTATCTTTATAATATATATATCACTACGTTAGTGTATTCAAACGGCACTCGACATTACTGCTCATATTACTATTAGATATGCCACAGAGGATCGAGACTATTAATTGTACTATGAATTGATATAGCTCCAAGTTAGTGTCTGGGTGCTCGTTATATATAGTGTACAACTAACCCATACAGCACTAGTATGGAGTGGGAGCTAGTATACTGTTGAAATACAGAGACATACATACATTATTATATATAGGCGATACAAATAGTGGGTTGCCACGCTGAAGTTATTATTCATATGTGTCGTGTGATGTAGTGGAATGTATATACTGCGATATATTTTATATATATGTATGAGTATATTAGATGGAGAGCAGGTGTGAAGAATATAATAGTATATGGTGGAGTAGGAGCTCTGACTAGTATATGGTAGTTATGGGGACTCTTATGAGTTGTAGGGTAGTATATCTGGGCGTTGTAGTTGAGTGTATTATATCGTAAACTATATTTCTGTACTATTGCTATATAAGATATATCATAAATGTATATCTATATATATATATAGTATTATATTATTATATATATATATAAGTGTATA